TGCCTCTAGAACATGGCCATATAGCCCGAAAAAACCCACAAGAACTGAGTGATTCCGGCCATGAAAGCCTTCGACAATACAAGGACAAGATTGTTAACCTTAAAATATCCTTACAGAGTAAGCTCAATTGAAGGACTGGGAAAACTGCATTTCCTAAATCTCAAGGAATCCTGTTTAGATACAATTACATGAAAAAGAGGAAAAGATAATCAAGGGTTGTCCATTCCCAATTGCCTCACTTTCATATCCCCCTTTTAAAAGATCATACATGGTGTAAGATAACCACATTTTCTTTTATTTTTGAAAGTGTGAATTCTGGTCTGGGAATCCACTGAGTAATGAGATTCACTACTCAGTTTGGGGCAGTCATTTTCTCTAAGGCTGACCTACATCACAGTGTTGATGTAAGGATAAAGTATGGAAGGTGGGAGACATGTATGCCACATTGAAGCTCAATGAAGAAAAGGCTGGGCATAAAGGGAACCAGTAGCAGCAGCTCCCATATCAGCGGGGAATGAATTTGCTGTTTTAGATGCTTATTAAGTAAGCAAGAAAGACATGCCAGGTATAAAATGAACAATAAATACAAGGCACAATCAATGTCAGGACCCCCTGGTGGCGCTGAGCTGCTGTACTTGCTGACTGAAAGACTGGTAGTTCGAGCAAGGTGAGCTTCCACTGTTAGACCCAGCTTCTGTCAACTTAGCAGTTCGAAAACATGCAAATCTGAGTAGATCAATAGGTACCACTTCTGCGGGAAGATAATTACGCTCCATGCAGTCATGCTGGCCACATGACCTTGGAGGTGTCTACAGACAATGCCAGCTTTTCAACTTAGAAATGGAGATGAGCATCACCCCCCAGAGTCAGACATGGCTAGATTTAATGTCAGGAGAAATCTTTACCTTTACCGTACAATCAATCTCACTGTGTAGATCAGTGGTTCCCAAACTTTTTTTTTTTTTTAACCAGGGATCACTTTGACAAGGGACCACTCTCTAACATTAGTACCAATAGGGCTATGAATCAGTTTTTGGTAAACTTTAGATTTGGTTTGGTTATTTAGGATGCTGATTCAGAAAACTGCATTGGATAGACCACATTAGCTCTAATTTCCAATACAGAACGTATGCCATCCAGTAATCACCATCTGCTCACCCACAGAAAACCATATTTAAGAAGCCTCGGCACTATAAGAGGGTTTTGCGAGACCAGTCACACTTGTTGCAACAGTGTAGTAATGGTGAGGCCATGGACCATATTTTAGTTCTTGTAGACTACTGGTGGTCCATGGACCACAGGTGGGGAACCCCTGGCGTAGACCATATCACAACACAACCTCACAGTATTATCCAAAATGATAGTTAACATCATTCAAACACATCATTCGAAATCTTCCCAAGGGGTTAGTATAGCTTGCTGTTATTTTAGGCAGTCTCAGAATTACAAACATCCAACTAGTTGGAGTTACACTTGAAAATGTACCTGTTCCAACTGACAAACAAATTCAAGTTAAGAACAAACCTATAAAACCTATCTTTTTCGTAACTTGAGGACTGCATGTATATCTAACAAAAAAGCCAAATGTCTACAAAACTGTCTGTCTCTATATAGAATCATAAAGTTGAAAGAGACGTCGTGGGCCATCCAGTCCAACTCCCTGCCTAGAAGCAAGAAAATCACATTCAAAGCACCCCCGTCAGATGGCCACCCAGTCTCTACTTAAACACCTCCAAAGAAGAAGCTTCCACCACACACCGGGGCAGAGAGTTCCACTCCTGAACAACTCTCACAGCTAGGAAGTTCTTCCTAATGTTCAGATGGAATCTGCTTTCCTGTAGTTTGAAGCCATTGTTCCACATCCTAGTCTTCAAGGCAGTAGAAAACAAGCTTTCTCCTCCCTATGACCTCCCCTCACATATTTATACATGGCCATCATGTCTCCTCTCAGCCTTCTCTTCTGCAGGCTCTTTAAGCCACTCCTCATAGGGCTTATTCTCCAGACCCTTGATCATTTTAGTCACTCTCCTCTGGACATATTCCAGCTTGTCAACATCTCCCTTAAATATCGCCATTAAATTCCTTAACATTTTGCAATACAGCAAGACATCGGACTTTGCATACTGTTAGCAAACAATGTGATGTGAACTTGAAGGAACATATACTAAAGATCATAAGCTCCAGGTCTCAAATAGGTTCAGCACCTTGGACAGGTCCTTTAAAGTTCAGACTAAAATCTGCAGTACTAAAGCAAGCACCAGCTGATAAGAATAAACAAATAAACCGTCACCTGACTGTAAAAGTGTCTTATGAAGTGAATGGACAATTTCTCCCACTTCCACCCAACAAACATTAATTAAAATTCTAATGAGGTTTAAATATCCCAAAGGCACCAGATCCTGTCTGATCGGGGAAGCTAAGAAGGGTCAGACCTGGTTAGTACTTGGATGGAAAGCAAACAATGAAAACCAGGGGTTGCAGATTGCATTTCAGATAAACTGGCAAAAACACCACCTTGCGTCTTCCTATGAAAACTTTGAAATTCGTGGGATTGTCATAAATCAACAGGTGATTTGAAGGCACACACAGGTGGTATTCTACCAAGCCACATGTTTCAAATTACGTGAAGACAGAACTGGTGGACCACGATTAGGGAATAGCCAGGACCAAACAAGTAGTTCTGACAGAAGATAGTAAAACCAAAAAACCAGTTAAAGAGCTTATAATCACAAAGCACAGAAAACAAAACTGCAGAGTGAACCAAGCACACTTTTATAGGAAAGACATGACCAAAGAGGGAGATCAGGTGAAGAAGGACAACAGAAGCAGGTGAGGCCACAAACAAACCAGAAATCGCCACAGATCAGAATAAGTTTTAGACTGTAGCTCAGGTATGGGCAAACTTGGGCCATCCAGGTGTTTGGGACTTCAACTCCCACAATTCCTAACAGCCTCAGGCCCTTTCCTTTCCCCCCTCAGCTGCATAAGCGGCTGAGGGGGAAAAGGAAGACACCTGAGGCTGTTAGGAATTGTGGAAATCCAAAACACCCAGAGGGCCCAAGTTTGCCTATGCCTGCTGTGGCTCAATTCGTTACAAAATTATTACAAACTTCTCAGTTTCTCAATTCTGAGAACAACTATCAAGAAATCACATGAGCATCAACAAGTGGTGCTCTCATTAGAATTGAAGGTTCCCATGGCTGCATTTAGACTGCAGAATGAGTGTAGCTTGACACTATTTCAACTGCCATGGCCATGGAATCTGTAGTTCTACAAGGCCTTTAGCCTTCTCTGCCAGAAACGACAACTCCCTGGATCCCACAGCATTGAGCCATGGATTTTTTGTGTGCCATGGAATGAACTGCATTCATTCCACTTGTTGATCAGGCATCATCAAACTCCAGTCCTCCAACTGTTTCAGTTTCCAACTCCAAGAATTCCTAACCATTGAACAAGCTGGCTAGGGCTTCTGGGAGTTGGAGGCTAAAACAGCAGGAGGGTTGGAGTTTGCGGATGCCTGGTATAGATGTACCACTATGTGATTTTTAAAAAATGTAATTATACATTTTATTTGAAACATCCCAACAATTAACAAACTTTTGCCATACAGGACTTATTTCAGTATACATAATTCCAAAAGTAAATATACCTTAAATGACATTTTATACATTCCTTAATTATGTATTGCCCATCACCCCCGCCCTCCCCACCCCCCTGGAACAGCAATTCTAAATGATGTCATTGCATAGGTTAAACCATGTTGAAAGCCTGATTCAAAATGCAATATCTGTTGTCTCGGTCTGTTTTGTCAATTAGCACAGACCATTTCCTGAACCAGTCTTGTTCATTTTGACTATTCATATACTTGTTTTTCCTTTGATTGATGAAATCATGAATTATATATTCTGATAGATAAGCCTACCAAGTTTCTAAATCCCATTTTGTATCCTCTCCATCCTTGGGCTATTGTGGCTTGTATTGCGGCTGTCATATATTTTAGGATCTCTGTCCAATTATTGTTATCTTCCTTTTGCCTTTATTGTGAGGAACAAGAATCTGGCTTTATCTCACATTAATTCTTTCCCTAATATTTCCTCTATTTCATTTCTTATTTTACTATAATAGTTCTGAATTTTTCTACAATCCCACCGCATGTGGGAGAATAAACCGTTTCCCCATCAATTATGCCAACACTTGTTGGAAATATTTTCCATTCTGTGTTCTAATTGAAGGGGGGTTCTTTACTATTTAGAGATTACTTTGCTTTGGATTTCTCTGATCCTCATATGCTTAATTTTCTGAATGTGGTCAATCCAAGACTTAGTTAATTTCTCGCTAAAGTTTCTATAAGGGTTGTTTTTGTGTTGTAAGTTAAGGTGATTAGTTCCTCATACAATAGCCCAATAATTCATTTATCTATTTCTACTTTCCTTTTAATTATTCTGTCTAGTGGGGTTTCTGCTACTTCTCTTCTTTTCATGGCCTGAGCTTTACTGGACAGGCCTAACCATGCTATCCAGTTCCCTTGACCATATTAATCTTCTATCTTATCCCACTTTGTTATTTCTCCATTGGGTTCCATGAGGTCCCCTATCCTTTTGATCCCACGATGTGACCTGGCCTACCTTGTTATTGGCACCCATCCTAAAAACCTCCATTAAAAACAACAACAATGGCAATGCCAGGGATTGGCCTGAAATGGGGAAAAGGAGGAGGACTGAAGGATGAGCACCCAAGAATCACTGATCCTATCCAGGGCCTCTACCAGGAACCACAGCCACGAACAAGAATAAAAAACACTAGGATTTAGGAACAATGGGTTTCATGTCTGGGAAGGGAGGGTGTTTCGTTTCGTTTTGGTGGGGTTTTTAAAGGGGTTCCTAGCCTTCTTGCCTGCTGAGAGCAGGGCCATGTGGCCAGCAGGCAGCCTCCATGGGCAGCCGAGGGAGTGGCGTGGGTGAAGCGCCCCGAATTTCCCTCCCGAGCGCGAGTGGGGTTACCTTTCCCAGGCAAATGTGACAAGTGATGGGCAGCGTGAGAGACAGTGTGACGTTCTGAACGTTCTGGGCCATGGCGAGCGCGAGCGTTCCAAGAGGCAGGCGAGCCCGGAAGCCAGCCAGCGAGCGCGCGCGCGCTACAGCCCCCGCGGCCAAGGCAGGCGCGGCTTCCCCGGCGCTCACGCGGCGCTCACGCTGCCTCGAGTATGGCAAGCCGGCGAGGCCAATCTTCCTCTCCTTTCAGCGTTTCCCCCTTAGAGCCGGGAGGAGGAGCCGAGCACATGGAGAGGGAACGGCGCGCGCCCTTTCCCCCGGATTTGGCCCCCTCCCACGGCGGGGAGGGGCGGGGCAGGGAATTGCAGCCTGGAGCTGGGGCGCTGCATTGCCAAAGAAAGCAGCACGGTTGAACAAGGACAGGGGGAAAAAATCACTCCAAACAATGAAACCAATACAAGTGAGGCTGTCAAAGTCTCCACCCTAAACTACAAACCCCAGAATTCTGCAGGAGGCAGCAACCGGATTTAAAGTGGATTCATTCTCTAGTGTGATTAAGTGGCAAAAAGTTGCATGGATTGTTATATACTTTTCTGCAGTTTTTTTAAAAAGTGCGTTGAAATCAAAGGGTTCAAGGCTGCATCTGCACTGCAGAATTAGTGCATATTGACACCACTTTTAACTCTCGCGGCTCAATGCTGTGGAATCAAGGGAGTTGCAGTTTTACAAGGTCGTGAGAGTCCTGGTACCTCACCAAACTCCAGTTCCCATGATCCTTTAGTATTTAGCCATGGCAGTTAAAGTGGTGTCAAAATGCATTAATTCTGCAATGTAGATGTACCCCATGTTAACTGGATCCCACGGCAAAATACTGGATTCAGTCAGTCCTGCTTTCTGTCTGATGTTAATGGGATTGAGAGAGACTGCCCAGATTCACCAAATAACTTTTGCAACAAGGATTTTCGAGATCTAGTTTCCCCTGTAACCAGGGATGGGCAACTGCAACTCTGTGGCTAACTTAGCCCATCCATGTTACATCTACAGCAGGCCCTTGGTATCTGCTGCGGTTTGGTTCTAGCACCCCCTGTGGAGACCAAAATCTGTGGATGTCCAAAATCAAGGTTTTCTTTTGGTGTGTGTGTGTGTATCCCTATATATATTTATTTACTTTATGCTGTTCTCACCCCAAAGGGGACTCAGAGCGACTTTTTCTTTTCAAACCATGGATGTATGAAATTGGGTTGTTGTAGGTTTTTTTGGGCTATATGGCCATGGTCTAGAGGCATTCTCTCCTGACATTTCGCCTGCATCTATGGCAAGCATCCTCAGAGGTAGTGAGGACTGTTGGAACTAGGAAAAAAGGTTTATATATCTGTGGAATGACCAGGGTGAGACAAAGGACTCTTGCCTGCTGGAGCTAGGTGTGAATGTTTCAACTGACCACCTTGATTTGCATATAATGGCCTGACAGTGCCTAGAGCAAACTTTTGTTGAGAGGTGATTAGATGTCCTTGTTTGTTTCCTCTCTGTTGTTGTGCCGTTGTAATTTTAGAGGGTTTTTTTTAATACTGGTAGTCAGATTTTGTTCATTTTCATGGTTTCCTCCTTTCTGTTGAAATTGTCCACATGCTTGTGTATGTCAACGGCTTCTCTGTGTAATCTGACATGGTGGTTGTGAGAGTGGTCCAGCATTTCTGTGTTCTCAAATAAAATGCTGTGTCCAGGTGGGTTCATCAGGTGCTCTGCTATGGCTGACTTCTCTGGTTGAAGTAGTCTGCAGTACCTTTCATGTTCCTTGATTCGTGTTCGGGCAATGCTGCGTTTGGTAGTCCCTATGTAGACTTGTCCACAGCTGCATGGTACACGGTAGACTCCTGCAGAGGTGAGAGGATCCCTCTTGTCCTTTGCTGAACGTAGCATTTGTTGGATCTTCTTGGTGGGTCTGTAGATAGTTTGTATGTTGTGTTTCCTCATCAGCTTCCCTATGCGGTCAGTGGTTCCCTTGATGTATGGCAAGAACACTTTTCCTCTGGGTGGATCTTCGTCTTTATTCTCGTGGCTTGTTCTCGGTCTTGCATGTATGAAATTGTGGATGCAGAATCTGGATATGGAGGGCCAACTATACTTCACTGGATCAACTGTTCAAGTAAATGTTTTAAAACACACTTCATTTTCCCTGAGTTTAGGTACCCGACAATGTCCAGCTTAAGTATTTGGTAATTTGTAATGCTATTTATCTTTTTAAAGCTTTTTAAAAAATTTATGAATGGTTCCATTAAGAAAATGCACAATGCATCCAAGGTCAATCCACCTCAAACCCCACCAGTATTTTCTGTTTGTCATGTTGGGTGTGTGTGCCAAGTTTAGTTCAGATCTATCATTGGTGGGGTTCACACTGCTCTCTGGATGCAGGGTGAACTACAACTCCTATCATTCCCACCAAACCCCAACAGTTGTTAAAGTTGGTCATAATGGGTAAATGCGCCAGGTTTGGTCCAGATCCATAGTTGGTAGGGTTCACAGTTCTCCCAGGGTGTAGGTGGACTACAGCTCCATCATGTTGGGTCTGTCCCCCCAAACCCCTCCAGTATTTTCTGTTAGTTATGCAGGGTAAGTGTGCCAAGTTTGGTTTAGATCTATTGTTTGTGGGAGTCACACTGCTCCCTGGAAGTGTAAGCCATCTTGGGAAATAGATACATAGATTAGATACAAACTTACATACATACAACATACATATTTTTTGGGTTTTTTAAATAAAAAGAACAAGAGAGGCATTGAGACCACACTCGGAGAATTTCTTCTCCCCTTTTTCCTAATGGGTACAATTCAAAGGTAGGAAAGTGTTCTAAGTACAATCATTTTCCTTTCTTATGTACATGTTGAAATTTGGGAAGTGAATTTTAAAATGTAGTTATTAGTTAACAACACTTTTAAAAAAAGAAGAATCGCTGTATCTTGTTAGTTTTAATTTTTTTTTAAAAAAAAAGTTGGAATTGCAATTTCCTCAAAGAGCCCCCTATTGGCTGACTAAATTATGATCTCACTGCTCTGTATTTCCCAGCTGTGTCTGTGTTTTCAAGTCTACTGTGGATTTAAATCACCTGTCAACTTACAGAGACCTCATGAATTTCACGGGGTTTTCTTTTGCAAGGGATACTCAGAGGTGGTTTTACCAGATCTTTTTTTTGAAATGTAACCCAGAGTTCCTGGCATTCATAGGTGATCTCCCATCCAAGTGGCAATGGATTCTATAGCCCAGGCATGTCCAAAGTCCAGTCTGGGGGCCAATTGCGGCCCCAGTTGTAATTTCCACAACCCCACTCTCTAGGCCTCCCTCCCTTTCTTGAGTTCCTTCCTCTCTTCGTTCCTTCCTTCCTTCTTGGGGATCAGCCCCCCCCCCCCACATTTTCCAAAAAGGCTTCCCTTTGCTGCGGCTCCTTCCTTGGGAAGAAAAGGGGAGAGCCAGGGGGCAACTACAGGCCACTATCAAAGACCTCCCAACAGATGGCTGTGCAGACTCTGCTGAAAAGACTTCAGAAAAGGAGACTCCACCAGACTCTGAGGCAGAATATGCCATTGTCTGAAATGACTTGAAGGCACACAACAACAATTCTAATTAACTTGACTCTCCCATTAACCAAAAGCAGGCCCACACTTCCCATTGAAAGACTGGTACATTTACGTTGGTTAAAATTGTTCTTTGTTTTATATATTGTATTGTTCTTCCATGTTTGTTTGTTTGTTTTGCACTATAAATATGCAGTGTGCATAAGAATGCATTCATTTTTTTTGCAAACTATATTCTGGCCCTCCAACAGAATAAGGGACTGTGAACTGGCCCTTGGCTTTAAAAGTCTAGACACTCCTGCAGCCTGACCATATACTGGGAAAAGAAATCGTTCCGTTGTCTTGAATGACCAGCCAATCCGTTTGAATGGATATTCCCTAATGGTACATATACACTGTAGAATGAATGCAGTTTGATGCTGCGGCTCAATGCCATGGAATTATGGGCACTGTGGTTTTACAAGACCTTTAGCTTTCTCTTCCAGAAAGTAGGGATGTTTCACCAAACTACAAATCTAATGATCCCTTCACTTTGAAACATGGCAGTTAAAATGGTGTCAAGCTGCATGAATTCAACAGTGTAGATGGAGGTTAAGTTTCTTTAATTTCTCCAAAAGGAATTGTACAGGCAGTCCCCTAGTTACAACCATCAGACTTACAGATGACTCATAGTTAAAAACGGGGGTGAGACAACATGAAGTGTGAGAAATCTACCTGTAGGAATGGATATTCACTCCTGAAAGAGTTATCATGAGGAAAAGGTGTTTCAACTGAGGCTTTATCTCCAATTCTTATTTCCACAGCAAGCCAAATTTTTCAAAATCCAATTCTCACAGGGACAGAAAGAGATGTGAAATCTTCTGAACAGAGGCACAGACAGCAAAATGAACACCACAGGGGTGTTAACCCTTCCCTATGCTAGCCAAAGCTAAAAGATTATGTAACTTATTTACAAATTCAACTTAAGAACAAAGCTACAGAACATATCTTATTCACAACTTGCAGACTGCCTGTACTAGGTTTGCCAAATACTCACTTTTTTCTTAACCTGAAGGAACAACACTTGCAGCTCGAATCTTGGCAGCAACAGAGCAATGGAGGCAGAACTTTTAGATTTTGCTTGCCAACGGGCCAGCAGCAGTTGGAGAGTTGCATGTGCATATTGCTGTGTTTGGAGCACTGATGCTGCCAATGCTCAGCAGGAAGATTTGCAAATGCATAGCACCATGTATAATTGGGGTCTGAAGGTTTGGGAGCCCTTCGCTACAAGGAAATGTCTATGTCACTACTGCCGCAGCTAATGTTGCTATTAAACACCAGCAGTTGGGTGCCTTGAAAAATATCAGGTTTTTTTTCCCTTTAAAAATGTTATCTAGCCTCTTAACAAGCCACGGGTTTCCAAATGTATCATGAGTACAGCCATGCATTCAGGAAGGTGGGTCTGCTGGTAAGTGAGATTGGTAGCAAGTCCATGCCTCATTTAGAGCCAAAAAAGCGCTTTTAGAGGTAAGTGGTAACATTTTATACTACTGCAGCCCTGCATTTCAACAGCATAAATGGTGGCAGTCATTATGTTCATAAATATGTAAGGATTCTTAAAATCCTCTCCCAAAA